ATAAATGTACAGGGTCCAAGTATAATTTTGTTATATACATAGACTGCATAGTGGTAAAGTCAGAGCTTTTAGGCTATCCATCACCCAAATAACATATATTGTACTCATTAATAATTTCTCATCACCCACCCCCTCTCCCTTTCCAGTGTCCATTGTCTAGCACTACACACTCTGCGTCCGTGCGTCTGCATTATTTATCTTCCACATATAAGTGAGAACATGTGATATTTGTCTTTCTGTGCCTGACTTGTTTTACTCAGGATAATGGCCTCCAGTTCCATCCATATTGCTGCAGAAGACATGATTACATTCTTTTTTATGGTTGAATAGTATTCCATTGTCAATATATACCACATTTTCTTTATCTAGTCATCCATTGATGGACAATTAGGTTGAAGTTATGTTTTTAAAATGGATTTGGCATTCCTAACTTTTATTATTGGGGTTTAGGTAGATTAACAATTTATAATTTATTTTTTAGCCTTAGTGTATAAATTACTTCTTTGAAACTAAAGGCACATCTTTCCCAGAATCTGATTGACAACCATTATTGAGTACTATTTCCCATTCAAGTTCAGGGGCACAAGTCACTGCCACTTATGCCCACGAGTATCCCTTTCCATAGTCATTCTCAGAACAAGAGTGTGAGCATAGAAAGGGAAAAAAATCTTAAGAAAAAAAATACGTTATGTCTGTGCTACCCCTCATAACTCATTCAGTCCCGTACCAGTGACTAGTTCTACCTTCCACTCAGATATTCAAGACATGCCCCTGGGGGTCAGGCTTACTGCCTGCCTCTGCATCTCCCCCATAGCCAGTTACCAAGTCCTGGCAATTCTTTTCCCCCAATCTGTCTTATCTATAGACACTGCCATTGGCCTTGCATGAGTCACCATCACGTCTTGTCAGAATTTCTGCCTCCTGTTTTCCTTTCTCTACTCTTGCCTTCTCCAGTTGATCCTCCACAAAGCAGTCAGAGCTATATATATATTTATACACACACACACACACACGCATATACACACACACATATATTTGAGATAAGGTCTCACTCTATTGCCCAGGCTGGAATGGTGATATCACAGCTCACTTCAGCCTGGAACTCTTAGGCTCAGGGGATCCCCCCTCCTCAGCCTCCTACATAGCTGGAACTGCAGGTGTGCACCACCACGCCTGGCTAATTTTTTTGTAGAAACAGAGTTTTGCCATGTTACCAAGGCTTGTCTCAAATTCCTAGGTTCAAGCAATCCACCTGCCTCTGCCTCCCAAAGGGATAGGATTATAGGCATAAGCCACTGCACCTAGTCAGTCAGAGCAATAATTTTTAACTGGAAATGAAAAGTGTCTTTATCCTCCTGGCAGCGGCTCTTCAGTGGCTCTTAGGATGAACACTGGATTCTTCTGTTCAGCACACCACGGCTCACCACAATCTGGTACCTGCCTTTGCAGGGTCCATTTCCTACTTATCCCCTATGCAAGCCATGCTGGTCATTTCAGTTCCTAATTTGGTTAAATCCTACTCTCTCTCAGATCTCAGCTAAACCTCACTTCTCCTGAGAAACCTTCTGTGACTCCCCAGAGAAGATGCATTTGGCTGTTGGTACTTTTCACCTTTGCAATGAATGACGAATTGTATGATTTAGTGTGTAGTGCTTGTTACCCCTGTAGACTGAGTTCCCAGCATCAGGCCATGCCTGCCTTTTTACTGCTGCTCCCCCCTCTCCAGAGCTGCTCTAGTGCCTGGCACTGTGGTACAATAAGACTATTTAAATAAATATCTGAATATGTGAATACTTACATACCCACACATGCTTCTCTGCTGCCTGAGGACCCCTCAGACGAAAACAAAAAGATAAAACCTCCAAAGTTAGAAATGCTCAAATACCAATTCAGAGCCATCGATAGGTATGAATGACTCTCATGCTGTATACCCTGACTATGATGGTAATTGAGTATTTTAAATATGCCTTGTAGATGAGGAGAAATTATTCAGGAATAAGATTATAAGGAGTACCTTGATGGACGCTTGTACTTAGGTAGGGTCTGGGATTTGACTAGAAAGTCAATTTATTCTTTAACCAGTGATGTTCAGATTCTGGAGCCTGATTTATCTTAATGGAACACACTAGAAACTGACAAATATCTAGAATCTCAAGCCACACATAAATTTATAGTGTGTAATGTAATTGTCAGGCACTGCTGGTGTCTGCTCAGGAACATGTTTCTCTGCTGCGCAGGATCTGCATGGAAAGTCAGATTGTACTCCCGAGGTTGGAGGACATGGAATCAGGGTCGAGACGGTGTGTGGTCTAAATACGTGTATGACGCAGTGATGGCTCTAAATGAACCATCTGAAATAAAATAGAAATTAGAATCTTTAACAGTACTTCATATATTGACTATGTTTATCTAGCCGCGAGTACTTTTTCAGTCTGGATTACTAAAGAAATTTTGTTAACTTTCCTAAATTATTTGCTTTTTGATTTGTTAAATTGATTTCTGCGTAGCTCCTGAACTTTCGTTGAAATTGCACATATTTTCCCTACAGCTTCAATTCTAATGGCAGAAATTGGACTAAATGATGGCACTATAACATCACAGAGCAATCAAAGTTATGTTAAAATGAAGTAAAAGCTTCTCAAATATGAAAGAAATAGGTTTTTAAGTGATGAAGGCATAGCCAATTAAGTAAAACTAAGTGTCACTAACTAATAATAAATTGACATTTTAAAGAAAGCAAAGTACTGAAAAAGGAAACAAATTGCCTTTTAAAAAATATTTAAAAGTTGTAAAATCGTTTCTGGGGAGTGCAGACGCTGTATGTGGGTGAACTAGTAGATGGAAAATATTCCTCTTCAACCAATTTACTTCAGAATAACCAATTTTCTTAAAGCTAGAGATAAAAAATGAAATAAAACTCATGAAAACACTGCGAGACAAGCAATTCATACTTACGTGCTCAAAACTAAATTTAAAAAATTGTGGTCTGAAAAATCTGTTATAAATTCCAACACATTCATAAACGACCACTGGTAGTTCTTTAATATGCAAAAAATTATCCTCAAACCTCAATTTGTTTTCAGAAGGGATTGATGAAAGTTTATGCCTTAAAATCCTAAAACTTTACTATAGTTGGCACCTAATATACGGGAAACTTTGTGACTACAAAGTATTTGCCTTTGACCTTGCATGCTGAAGCTCATAAATCCCCTGACAGTACAGAATTGTGAGATCTAATTGTGGCAAGCCAAGTAAAAATACACTCTCTTGATTTTTTTGGTTGAAGTTTCACCGTAAGTAATTCTAGAGAAATGTAGGCTCTTCTAAGAGAGGAACATGTAAAGTTCCTTTCAGTGCTGCCTTTCAGTATTTGCAAAAGGTAAAAATTCGGCACTACCACAATTTCTTTTTAGGGCTGTGCCTCCAGAATACTTAAAATATGTATATTGCCAGAATATATTATAAAGTTTTTAAAATATCCATAGATAACGTTTAGATGAATTCATTTTTTATTTACAAAAAACTTCTTTTCTTCATGATGATGGACAATTACTCCACCTGTCTTCATTAAGTGGATATTTGTTAAGCCTCATTTTTATATTCATATGTACCTTTCTCTGAACTAGCACAATCATAATGTGGGCTTTGTGATCCTGTCACCAAAGACTTTGAAAATGTTCGCACTTTGCACACTGCAGATATTAAAATATCCCAAATGTCAGAGAACTCCCATGCCTGTAGTCTATGGAATGATTTGGTTCTACCTCTGTTTGCTACAGGGCAATCCGTCTGAGACACAGGAATGAGTTAAACCATCTTTTTAAATAGACCTAGTTCATCTAAGTCATTTTCCAATAAGTTCTTCCAAAATCTGGAAAGGCTAGTACATCATTAATCAAATGTTTAGTTCATGGTTAATATTGCAGGCAGTGAGTGGACTCACTTGAGTTTTAGCAGGATCTATAACAGGTGTGTCTATACTGTAATTCTGATTTAATTGTGGTCACCCGATTTACTGAGCACCAACTTGTCAGAGATCAAAAGATGATCTCTGGGATGCACGCATTTTTGTTAGGCCATCTGCAAGAATGCAAAATGAGTATTAAAGGCTTTGATCCTCCCTGCACGTCAAGGCTTTTACTAAGGGATTTCCATCCTGCCTCTCAAGTGCCCCTCAGGAAAACTTCTTTTCCACCCTTCTTAGCTTCCCCTCTCTCTCACCCCTCTATTGCCCAGGCTTCTGTGTTCCAGTGTCTCTAAATACCAAAGAAACTGTATTGAAGCCAAATCACTAGATCTTTAGCCTGAAAGAACATAAAGTCTCCACTACTTCCCAAGAGACTCAGATACTAAAGGACTTAGGATGCAAATACTTTAATTTATACATTTGTTTGTTTGGTTAGTTGGTATCGATTGGAGGAGGAAGATGGAAAGAAGCCAGAGGGGGCTATTGTCCTAGTGTTCAGATATCATGAGCATCCAACTGGGGACTGACTACCCTGGACTTTGCTTTCAAGATTAGGAAGGGGCGTCCCAGGAGCATAATAGGCAGGATCCCCATGACTGGTTGCCATTGCTGTTTGCATTCTTATGGCAGAGTGACCGATGAGTAATGAGGGCCAAGATACTGCCCAAACTGCTACTACCTAATTTCCTGCCAATATCTTTATGTGATTGGGTAGAAGTGGTGAGGGGGTTAAACTGTGCCTGGTGTGTAGCTTGTTTAAAATAATGAACTAAGAAAATGGAAAAAGTAATGGACGGATAATATGGAGATCAAAAAGGGTAAGTTGAATTTAGTTAAGGGTGGGACTGTGATATTGCCAGTGACAGTGATGAAATCCCATGAACTCACAGCAGATTGACCATTTCCACCTGAACTGCTGCTTTACAATTGAGATGGGATGTGGGGGTGGTTAGGACTCTGGCAGTTGCACATGTTGTCACGTGTCTTTCCTTCTGCTAGGAAGTCATAGTTGCTGTTATCCTTCTTTGACCAGGTGTTGGACTGGATTGAAAACCATGGTGAGGCCTTTCTCAGCAAACACACTGGAGTTGGAAAGTCCCTACATCGAGCCCGGGCCCTGCAGAAGAGGCACGATGACTTTGAAGAGGTGGCTCAGGTGAGATGCTCTGTGTGTGTGTGTGTGTGTGTGTGTGCGTGCGTGTGTGTGTGTGTGTGTGTTTGTGTCTAGATGAGGGAGACCAGCGCTGTGGCTTTGGTGTTTGGTGAGGCTTGCTGGGTTGATAGCCTGTGGCTGCTGGGCTGCCTTCCTGCCTGATGCAAGGAGTCCTTTGTCTTCTATTGGATTCTAGGTGAGTGGTAAAATAGTTGCCCATATTTATGATCTTTCAAAAAAATCTTCCTGCTGGTGTGATCTAAAAATGCCTTGTCCACAAGGTGGTGCTGGCAGGAGGGAATGACATTATTAGATTCCTCATCACCCCAGGGCTGCTGCTTATGGTTGTTACTGCCAGTGAGTGAGAGCTAAAAATCAGTCCCAGCTCTACTTACAAAGCCACATACCTTCCAGGACCTGGAGAAACAGGTGACACCTGCTCACCAGCCATGCACTCACAGGGCTGAATGTGCCCAAAGAACCTGCCTTGGTGTCATTTGGACAATATTTAAACTTCCATTTATATAATGTTCAGTCTTTTAGCTGAGCTGCACACCTGATCCAAAAAGGGCACCATTTCTGAATTTGCGCAAAGATGTTGTATGAGAGGCCCTGGCCATTTGTCTAATAGTATAATTGTTTTAAAGTGTTTTTGTTCAGAGCCTTCATCTTAAAAATGTTATCCTAACTCTGTTATATTTCTCCACTGGGGAGTTTTCCAAATGGGTCCTGAGAATTTTCATTTTCAAGATGAAATACTACTCTCCAGTTATTTTATCAGGTGTGATCAGCTGCCATGTAAAACAAAATAATGAAGAATAAGGCAGGGAGGGTGCCCATATGGGACAGAGGGGTAAGTGCTGCTGAAGGAGTGAGGATGACAGAACTAGGTTTTGCCACATCACTGCTTTAGCCAGAGCTGACTTCAGTCCCACCAGGCAGACAGCCCTCAATGTGGGCCCCACTTTGGGCATTGTGCAGAGCCCTAGGCCTCACCCAGGGAGGCTCCCAGCCCTAGACAGACTATGTGCTATGGATGCAAAAAGAGATGGTATGTCAACAACTGAGCAAGAACAGGAAGGTCATGGAGCATTACTGCCTCTCTAGGGGAGCTGCAAGCATATGCTGAAAATTGAGAGGCCTTATAGGAGCCAGAAAGACCATGTCAGCAGTGACCTGAGCCCAGGGAGTATGGGTGGATTAGACCCAGCCTGTGAGATGAAGAAAGCCTCATATGGAACCCTTGTGCACTGTTGATGAGAGTGTAAAATGGTGCAGCCACTGTGGAAAACAGTGTGGAGGGTCCTCAAGAATTAACAATAGAATTACCATAGATCCAGCAATTCCACTTCAGGGTGTATCCCTAACAGAATTGAAAGCAAGGACTCAAATAGATTTTTTTTTTTTTTTTTTTTTGAGACATAGTCTCGCTCTGTTGCCCAGGCTGGAGTACAGTAATGTGATCATGGCTCACTGCAACCTTCGCCTCCTGGGTTCAAGTGATTCTCCTGCCTCAGCCTCCTGAGTAGCTAGGATTATAGGCGCCTGCCACCACACCTGGCTAATTTTTTGTAAAAATGGGATTTCACCTCGTTGGCCAGGCTGGTCTCGAACTCCTGACCTCAAGTGATCCACCCACCTCAGCCTCCCAAAGTTCAGGGATTACAGGCGTGAGCCACTGTGCCCAGCCATCAAACAGATATTTATATACCCATGTTCACAATATTCAAATGGTGGAAACAACTCCAATGTCCATTGACGGATGCATGGATAAACAAAATGTGGTCTATTCATATAATGGAATATTATTTAGACTTAAAAAGGGAGGGAATTCTAACATATGCTACAACATGGATGAACCTTGAAGACATTATGCTAAGTGAAATAAGTCATTCACAAAAAGGATAAATATTTTATGATTCTACTTATACCTAGAGTAGTCAAATTCATAGAGATGGAAAGTAGAATGGTGGTTGTCAGAGGCTGGGGGTAAGGGAGGAATAGGGAGCTATTGTTTAATGCAAGCTTATCCAGCCCATGGCCCACAGGCTGTATGTAGCCCATGATGGCTTTGAATGTGGCCCGACACAAATTGGTAAACTTTCTTAAAACATTATGAATTTTTCTGCAATTTTTTTAAGCTCATCAGCTGTCATTCGTATATTTTATGTGTGGCCCAAGGCAATTCTTCTTCCAATGTGGCTCAGGGAAGCCAAAAGATTGGACACCCCTGGTTTAATTGATACAGAGTTTCAGTTTTGCAAGATGAAGATGAAGAGTTCTTGAGATAGATGATGGTGATAGTTGCACCACAACACTGTGAATGTACTTAATACCACTAAATTATACACTTTTTTTTTTTTTTTGAGACGGAGTCTCGCTCTGTCACCCAGGCTGGAGTGCAGTGGCGTGATCTTGGCTCACTGCAAGCTCCGCCTCCCGGGTTCAAGTGATTCTCCTGCCTCAGCCTCCTGAGTAGCTAGGATTATAGGCGCCTGCCACCACACCTGGCTAATTTTTTGTAAAAATGGGATTTCACCTCGTTGGCCAGGCTGGTCTCGAACTCCTGACCCCTTGTGATCCGCCCATCTCGGCCTCCCAAAGTGCTGGGATTACAGGCTTGAGCCACCGCGCCCGGCCAATTATACACTTTAAAATGGTTAAAATTGTAAGTGTTATATTGTTACATTTTACCACAATACAAAAAAAGAAAGCCTCCTAGCCAGTGAGGACCTTCGGCAAGATGCAGCACAGATCTAAAATATCTGAGTGGCCATGCATCCTGGGTCATTCCTCTCTAGGCTGTTAGGGAGCCAAGGATGGGAGAGGGCCACATGTATCCCCTGACGGCTGAGAATGGAGGTTGTAGTACGTGGGGTGGTCTGTTGGAATAGGGCCATCCCATAGCTTTGGTGCTTCTGCCTGTGGGCTGTCCTATGGCTCAGCACTTCTCACTTAGAAAGGACATCCCCAAAGCTACCCATAGCTCTGACCCAGCTCAATCCTCCTTGCCCTCTGCCTGATATAGCCTCAGAGGCAATGCCAACCTTGGTTGTAGGCCCATGTTTTGATTATAGGCCACAGTTTTTGCATTTTGTTACAACCAAGCAAGACCCATGGCCACCCCAGGCCCATTTTTCCCGACTGTTCCTCCACCTTCTCGCTGATACCTGATACTCCTTTCATGTGGGACAATGCTTTTCCATCAGCAACAAAAACACATGAATTTAAATTCATGCTAAAGAAAGAATGGGCACATTTTTGAGAGCTTATGTTTCCATTATATATCTTATGCCAATCCTGAGTGATAGGTAGTATTTGCCTTGTTTTATACAAGACAACACTGAGGCTTAGAAAGTTCTTCCATGTGCCCAAGTCATCCAGCTTGTCAGGGGCTCTGCTGAGATTCAAACCCAGGTCTGTTGGATTCCAGAGTCATGTTCTTATCCTAATTCCATGCTGTCCTTCCTTATTGAGGTAAAGGAAGTGAGCATAAAATTCATTTCTGAGTGCCCATTTGCTTATGGAAAGTGTGGGACAAAGACAAAGGGGGTGAGGGTGGGTGATGTTGCCGCCCTTATTGACATCGATTACAACTTTCCTCTGGCCCTTCCAATGAGTAATCCACTGGCATGATCCACACCTCCCTGACTCTGCTTTCTGATAAGACTGTATTTTTTTGAAAGAGAAGACAGAGTTCTAACTTCCAAAAGGCTCATCCTTTTAGGAGGAGTGTTTGCTCTGGAAAGGAGAAAAGCAGATATGAGCTACGAAGGGAGCACTTTACCTAGGGTTCGTGAGCCATCTCATTACCCTGAAATTAGCCTCCAGAGCTGGATCTTGTAGTTGGGGAATTAATCCTACCTTATTCTGTGGTCCCCACTCTGGGAGATGGAGCGGCCCAGCATCCTGGGGTTGTTAGTCCACATAGGAAAACCAATGCTGACTACAGTGAAGGCAGGTTGGCTGTCTGTAGCAGCCTGCCTGAGACCTGCTTTGTTCTGTACTGCGTGATTGCCATGTTTAGGTGGTGAAAATGGGGTGATCTAGGCAGGAAAGGGTTCTTCTTTCTCTCTTGCTTCTGCTCTCAATTAGATGAGGGCCATTGGGAGAAGAGGAGTGGATTTAATCAGGAATTGAAAAGTTCTTCAGTAAGAAGAGCAATGACAGAAAGCCCAAAGCATGGACACTCTTATTCTTTGTTTGGGTTGCTGTTTATGAGATGTGGTCAGGAAGGCTATATATGCTGCGGGGTAGGAGCCTGGGGTAACTTATAAGCAATACTCTAAAGGGTCGTGATTCTGTGAAGGGACCTCTTTCAGCCTTATCATTTAGGATTCCTTTACCTGAGACTGAAAATGAGAGAGGAATTCTGAGTACCCATTCTCTGTATTTAGGTTCAAAAAACTGTCTTGAATCAAAGCAGAAAGAGAGCTATTACATCTGTCACAGATCCTGGAAATTTGTCCTTCTGAAAGGAAAAGCAAGCCCTCAACAGAGGGAATGGCTACCCACGGGGAGGGGTTGAGGCAGTGTAAAGCCCCTGAACAAGTACATCTCCACTCTTGGGATAGTGGAGGCATCTGTGATTCTTACCAGTGGTTAGTCTTTGTAGTAAAGACATTTAGGGCAGCTATTAAAATAGACATAAATGATAGCTTTGAAGAATTTATGTGGCAATCCATTATCCTTCATTAAACTTTAACTTTTGTGTTTAATAGCTCTTGAACAAATTTTAAACAAATTCTTCAAATACCCTTTGAAGATGAATTAAATATTTGAGTCCTCAGTTCATCCTGCAGATGGCACTCTTTGAATAGCCGACCTAGAAGCTGAGCTGACTGGGGAAAGGCTTTGCAGTCATGACAGCCTCCCTAGGGAGGAAGCCAACATTCAGAGCGAAGGTCCAGGAAGGGATACACCAGGGGATCTGTGTCTACAGTTATCTAGTCCAAGCTGCTGAGGTTGTGCGTGCTCAAACAGAAGACCTGGGCACTGGCGGG